ATCTAAGAAGCGAACGTGGCACCTCAACACCATCAGCTCTGGGTATTTGAGACATCAATAACAGTATATAAGTTTGGAACTACCCACAAGAACTTGACGCACAGCCTTAAAGAAGGCGTTTCATCATCGAAAGCTCGTTGTCTTTTGTTTTTCCGGTGTTTCTTTTCTGTTACATACTGTATTTTTAAGGGTCGGTTCAAGGTGTCCCCCTCTTCCAGCCTCTTGAAACTCTCATTCGCCATCGATCGGTTTCAACTCGGGAGCCTTAAGAAGGGCGGCGCTCCGTCTAAAAGGCAGGAACGTCCATTTAGACGTAAAAGAGCGGAACCTATCAATCCCGTTTATTTCCCCGCAGAAAACCCATTGGAGCCCAACGGCTTTTCTGCCCGGATCAGGGCCCAGGGCGGCCGGCCTCTCTTCTCACTCCTTGCGCCTGTTGAGGGAAAAAACAACAACCACCACCTCGCCTCGGATTGGCTGAGCGCGCCCTCGCCCTGCCGCTTTCAAGATGGCGGCTCTTGTTCTGGGTCTGGATCCCACGGCGTCCTTTTTTTTTTTCAACCAGAGCCACTCTCACCCATGAAGGTGGAAGGTGCCCAGTCTGAGGAAGTGGGATTTGTCTCCCCGGAACCTTACTATGCGTTTGATATTATTTTTTTTTAAAAAGTGGATATCAATAAAGGCGTCCGTCCTGTATTTGTGTACTCTCAATATGGCGGCCCAGTTGCCCCGTCACGTCCACGCTGGAGTGGACGCCCAGGGAAGACCGAAAGCTCCGCGATCTCCAGGAGCCGCGATGCCAAGTAAAAGTGGTTGCCTTTCAAGGCGCCCCAAGAGCCTTTGTGGTTCAGCGGAGGACACCTCCGCGACTTTATTTTCCCGGCCCTTAGAAGTAGAAAGCTAAGGCAAGAGCCAACCGGAAATACTGTACTAATATTCAGTGCACACACTACTCTTCCTCTTGTACGTCTATAACTCCCCCACCGTAGAGCTAGAAATAACAAACAATGAAGAGTTCAACGGGTCAAGTTATACCCAAAATGTGCATTCTTCGCCCGCTCAAAAGATACGTTCTGTTTACTGCCCCCCTGCCCCCATCCAAACTATTATGACACTTCCAAGATGGGCGGAACTTCCTGGATCTATATAGGTAGAAAAGTTTGGACTCACTCGGCAAGCCCGTCTCTTTTTTTCAGGATCTGCAGCCTAACAGGCGAAAAGAAGGGATAAAGATACAGTATCTCCATGGAGCGCTAGCTGTCAGACCCACCGCTGACTTTGGGTTAAGATACCATTTACCGCAGCAGTGGAAACGGTATTAAAAGTATTTTTCCTGCTAAATTACGTTCTGCACGGTATCCTTTATTCACTTGCTTACAGTCATCTACAACTTATGGAGACCTTACGACTAAGAGATCACCAGCACATCCTGTCCTCAACAGTCCTGCTCAGCATTTGCAAACGCAAGCCTGTGAGTGCTTCTAAGGAGTCAGTCCATTTCATATGTGGTCTTCCTCTTTTCCAGCTGCCTTCAACCTATCCCAGCATGATTGTCCTTTCCAAAGAACCTTGCCTTCCCATGATGTGTCCAAAGTACAGAAGCCTCACTTTTAACATTTTTGCCTCCAGAAATAGTTCAGGCTTGATGTACTCTAGACCCACTTGCTTATCTTTCTGGCAGTGCAGGCTGTCTGCAAAGTTCTCCTCCAGGACCACATTTCAAACAAATATTTTTTCCTCATCAGCTTTCTTTACTGTCCAGCTTTCAGACCCATACATAATTATCAGGAATATAAGAGTGTGAATGATCTTGGCCTTTGTCTCCAGTGACATATTCTTACACACTACGATCTTTTCAAGTTCCTAGTTCACTGCTGCCCTTCTGAACCTCAGTCTTGTTCTGATTTCTTGGCTGCAGTCTCCATTTAGATTGATGACTGAGCCAAGGCATACAACATATTTAACCATTTAAGTTTTTTCATTGTCAAAGTTATGTAGTTCTTTTGTTTTTAGTCTTCTTGATGTTCAACTGCAGTCCTGCTTTGGTACTTTCTTCTTCCACTTTCCATAAAAGTTGTTTTAAGTTATTGCTGCTTTCTGTCAGTAAGATAGCGTCACCTGCATATCTTAAATTATTGATGTTCCTTCCATCAATTTTCACTCTTCCATCTGAATCTAATCCCACTTTCCATATACAGTAATACATTCTGCATATAAATTCTACTGATCAGGGGATAAAACGCACCCTTGTCTGACAGTTTGGTTATAGGAAATCATTATGTCCCTCCATATTCAGTCCTAACAGCAGCTTTTTGTCTACAAGTTACACATCAGGACAATTAAGTACCGAGGCACACCCATTTCTTTCAGAACAATCTATAGTGTTTCATGATCCACATAGTCAAATGTTTTGCTGTGGTCTACAAAGCATAGACTGATCTTCTGAAATTCTTTGGTATTCTCTAGTAGTGAACAGATATTTGCAATATGGTCTCATATGCAGAATCCAGTTTGAACACCAGGCATTTCTCACTCCATATAAGGTGCTGCAACACAATGAGCATCCCTTTGCTTGCACGGGAAATTAGAGTAATGGTCTTATAGTTACTGCACTCCTTGGCGTCTCCTTTTTTGGGGACTGGAACCTATATTGAGTGTTTCCAGACTGTGGATTATTTGTTGGCATACTCTTGTTAGGGTTTTGACACACACAGTCTCTGTGGCTTGAAATTTTCCACTCAGCATCCCATTTAACCCTGCTGGTTTATTTCTTCCTAGTGTTTTCAGATTAGCTCTCACTTCACTTTCTAGAACTGCAGATTCTTCATCATAGAATTCCTCTTCAAAGGAGTCTGCCATCCTTTAATCTCTTATGCACAGGTCTTTAGTACAGTATACTGTACTATTTCACCTTCCCTTTATTTTCTCTTGGTCAGATAGTGTGCTTCCCTGTTGGTCATTCAGTACTTCTAATCTGCACTTAAATTTATTATTCTTATTATTCTTTAGATCTTCTGGAGAAGATCTGTTTTTATCTCTTTTGTTGTTCTCCTCTATTTCTTTGCATTGATAGTTGTACTAGTTCTCTTTGTATTGATGGGATAGTCATTGAAAAATTGCATTCAGGATTCTAACCCTATTTCTGTCACTTTTATTTTTGCTCCTCGCCTGTCTGACAATTCAAAGCGTTTCTTCCATCATCCATCTAGGGTTTTTTTTCCACTACAGGAATTGTATTTGCATTTCTACTTAATAATATCTCTGGCTTACATTCATGGTTCTTTTGGTTCACGGTTGGTTGTGTTTAGTAATGAAAATCTGTTATGTGGACTTTACATTAATGAGGAATGTTTAAATTATATTTTGGTGCTACAATCTACTATTTTCATCTTTATCAGTGCCACAGTCTGCTCTTGCTCCTGTTTTGGCAGAGAGAATTCAGTTTTTCCATCTCCTGTTGCCAGTTACATAGTCCATTTGATTTCTATATTGACTGTCTGGTGATATTCACATGTCCAGCTCTCTCTTAGCTTGTTTGAAGCAAGTATTTGTAATAAATAGATTGTTGGCAAGACTCTATGCCCTGCTCATTTCTGTCTCCTAGGCTGAACTTTTCAGCAACACTTGGCTCTTCTTTGTTCCCTACTTTTATGTTCCAGTCAGCCATGATTATAAGCATGTGCTGTTTTGGTATGCACTCAATTTCCTCTTCGATGTTTGCATAAAAGCTTTCAATTTCATTTTCTTCAGAATTTGTAGTTGGAGCATAGGCTTGAATGATTGTTATTTTAGGTTTTCTATGGTGTCTGAATATCGTTCAGTCAAACCTTTCATTATAGGCCCTAACTGTCTGTGCTACATCTTGCCTCAGTATTAAAGAAACCCTGTTTCTTCTGAGTTTGTCATTTCCAGAGTAGCACACTTTGTACTTGCCTGACCGAAAATACCCCACTCTAGTCCATTTTAGTTCAATGACACCAAGCACAGCAATGTTTATACATTAAATTTCTTGCTTAACTGTTTCTAGTTTACCTTGATTAATATTTCTTGTGTTCCATAGTCCAATTGTCTTGTACAGCATCAAAATTTCGTTTCACACTTCTCCACATATCAGTCACTAGATATCCTTTCAACTTTAATATAATTGCATTAGTGAGCATGCTATTCATATTTGTCCTTTACTCTTCCCCAGTAGCTGAGTTTTTTCTATCCTGGGAGTCTCATCTTCCAGCACTCTCTCATTTCATTTTGGACTGTCTCATTATAGGGTATTCACGATAAGGAAATATCAGCAGGCATTTACAATTGCCACCTTTTGTGCAATACTAAAATTAGTTTGCTTGAGTGTTACTGCCAGTCACCTTCAGCTACAGCTGCTGCCTAGTAGATGCAGTTGCTGTCAGAGGACCACCACAAGCTATCTGTGGCACTAACACAATGACTTAAGAGATTAGCTTTGTGTGTAAAAGTGTATATTAAAAAAGAGCTCTACTCTGTTTACTGGAAATCCAAATTAATCCTTAATGGAATCTTAGATGGAGAGGAGTGATCACTCCAACAATTTCCACTGCAGTTTCTGAAACTCTATTTAGCCACTGCAATAAAAGAAAGCTGACAGGAAAAATATGATGTTGTGGGAAAAGCAGAAAGACAAAAGAGTATTATATCAAACCGGAGAATAACAACAACAACAAAAAAAGAATAACTGAAAAGAAAAACAGGAAATACAAAATATCAATGGGAAATTTAAATCTAGATGAGGGGGTCTAAAGATCAAGAGGGAAACATATTATCCTATCGGGATAAAATAAATACAAGATGGAAACAGTTGTACTGTATTTTCAAGAATATGACGGGGAGAAAAAGTGGTTTTCTTGTTTTTAATTCGGAGGAAGCCCCGCTGAGCACAGTTGGACTCCCTTCCGACATAATACGGATATTCGACCTGGAGTGGGGTGAAGCTGCAGCCAGCTACAGTCTCGAATTTCTCTCTTATTTCGACCGTGGGCTTTTGTTCCGAGGGCAAGAGGGAAATGACGTAAAGTCAGCCCTTTCTGGGGAAAAAAATCGTATTGTATGGTCAGGTCTACCCTTTGTGAAGCTCTGTGTTTTTAGCCCGAGAAGGTTGCGCCAGCTCCGATCCTTCCCTCCCCAAGATGGCCGCCTAGTTAGGGCTACAAGGATCCTTTGCCTTCGCCGAACCTCCCCCCCTCAAGATGGCGCCCTCGATGTCCCACAGCGTGCCTTCCCTAAGATGGCAGACAGCCCCGCCTCTCTTCTCTTCCCCTCCCTTCCCTTGTTTTGAATAAACTTTATTGAGAAGCCGGAGGGAAAGCAGGATCTTGGGCCTCGTTGAGGCCTTTGCCGTCGCAGGAAGCCTTAAAAAGTAACCGTTTCCTGTCTCTCTCTCTCTCTCTCCCACCCACCCCACTTCGAAGGCCTCGATCCTCGCGCTGGAGTAGATGCTTCCCCCGTGGAAAAGGTTCCGGGATCTGGCGTACGAATCAGCAGAGTCTCGCGTCTGGTTTAAGGCCTAAGAAGAGAGGCGAGCAGCGCTCCGTTCCGGAAGAAGGAGAGCCGCGATGCAGGACTTCTCCTGGGAGTAAAGGGAAACTTGGCTAGGAATTGAGGGGCTTGGGAAGCCGACGCCGCCTTTCAGAGAGAAGCAAAAGCGAAGGTGCCTCGGGAGGGCGAGAGAGGCTGCAACGCTCCTTTGTGAGGCGTGAGGAAAAGCTGCGGATCTCTCTCCTGGGCGAGAAGTTTGAGAGTCTCCCGTTTCCGAGGGAAGCTCCCCCCGAATCTGAGGAAGGCGTCCCAGGAAGATAAAGATAACTGGAAGGGCGAACGGCTGCCAACTTGAGGGGTGGGAGGGATGCGGAGAGTCGGGAAGTATGATTTTGAGGGCTTCAGATTCTTACGGGGGGGACCCCATAAAACTTTAGGTTAAAGTAGTGGGTTCAAGAGACGCCTTGTGAGGGGATACACCCGTTGTTTCTGGGCATGCAAGAAAGGCAAAGCTGACTTTGAAAGGGAGTGGATGATATATTTTAAGAAACACACACACCCTCCATTAGAGGGGGGGAAGGCCGGTTTTTCTTCGGACTTCAGCATGACCAGCTTCTCCAGCTTGGCGTAGCAGATCGGCGGAGGTTGCCTGGTTCCTGGGAGTCTTCCTTCTTGGCGTGAACGCGGAGCAGCCACCGCCATGGCCTCCGTCCCCGTGTATTGTCTCTGCCGCCTGCCCTACGATGTCACTCGCTTCATGATCGAGTGCGATGTCTGTCAGGACTGGTTTCACGGCAGGTAAGAAACGAGGGAGAGTGGGGACTGGCAGCGAGGAGCAGTAGTAACAAACCCATTATTATTATTAT